GCCAAAGTATTGGAGTTTCAGCTTCAACATCAGTCCTTCCAATGAGTATTCAGGACTGATTTTCTTTAGGATTGATTGGTTTGATCTTGCTGTTCAAGGGACTCTCAAGAGTCTTCTCCAACACCATAGTTCAAAAGCATCAATTCTTTGGTGCTCAGCTTTCTTTATGGTCCAACTCTCATATCCATACATGACTACTGGAAAAACCATAGCTTAGACTATACAGAGCTTTGTCAATAAAGTAATGTCTTTGCATTTTAATATGCTGTCTAGGTATATTAAATGTCTTACCCTTTTTAACCTTGATTTTTCTCATTTATAAAATGGAGCTGAATTCATACATTTATTTTGAACATCAGATAAAATAACAGTTAAAAAATAGAGTATCAGAGACAGGCAAAAGTATGAAATGTCTTGAAAAGAACAATAATGAAATTGGGGCAAAAGATAATGCTAAACCAATATAAACAAAGAAATCAAGTACAATAATTGTTCATAGATTAATATCTTTATCTTTAAATGATGAAGAGCAAACTCCTAGGAAAATGCATGGGTTAGAAATTTAGATGACAATCACAAAATTTTGATTATATAAAGCAGATATTTGCGTTAAAATGAGTAAAATATATAAATTATATTAGATGTATTAGCAGATTATATTATTTATTTTCATTTATGTATTCAGGCCTCTAATCTTCCCAAGGTTAGAGACTATGACTCTTTTGAATCAGGTTGCAAAAATGGGTTATATTTGAGTTTTTTGTTTGTTTCTGAATTTTTTGTTTCTTTGTTTACTGCTCATGATCTTATTTCACTTTCTGTGTATGTCTTTGACATATTCTGATAGCTAGAGTAGTTTATCAACAATGGTTTGGAGACAATGGTTATCATGAGTCAAGAGAAGAAACAGCAACTGAATTGTAACAAGTGCATTGGGACTTACCCACAAGCCACAATCTAAATTAGATATGAGGCAGACCAAACAAGCAATGAACTAGTGGCAGTATTTTGAGTAGGTGAAAATCATTATTAATTATGCCATGGCAGAAAAGGAAAAGAAAAGCTTGAGAATCACAGGTGAAAGCAGAGGACTAAGAAAATTATTAGCTATTTTAGACAATTTCACTGATGATAAATGCACTTTTCATGCTTTTTGGCAAGGATGATATTTAGGCATCTATGCCAGTTTTTTATAGCTGAATAACAAACTATCCAAAATATGGTGGTTCAAAACAACAGTGACTTTATTATATTTCAAGATACAGTGAATTGGGAATCAGGCATGCCCCGACTAGGAGGTTCTTCTATTCTCTGTGACATCATGACTAGTACTAAGTGGAATCCAACAGATGAATGAGCTTGTCTGGAGGATTCAAGATAGCTTCACTCATTTGTCTTGTGCTTTGGCAACAACACCTAACAAAACAGACACTGCTGGTTTATGGAAAGCATGTATATGTGGCCTCTCCAACAAGCTGCCTTGGGGATCACACTTCCTGCATGGATGTGCAGGAGTCTCAGAAATAGTGTTCCAATTCTGAGAATGTTACTTCCATCACATTCCATTGGTCCAGCATGTTGTTAAGTCAGCCTGGGTTCAACAGGAGTAACAGCTTGTAGCCATCTCAAATCTACTACAGCTACTCCTCTCAATATTGGCTTTATGTGTGTTGACATATGTAACTGCATTGTCATATCTTTGAAAGTGGCGTACCTATAAAATAAAAGAGTCTGAGAATGAAGAGGCTGTTAAATAGTAGGTGCCTAAATTACCACCTGAAATACACCTGAAAATACTTTGATTCCACAGTATTTGAAATAGAGTTCAAAGAAAATTAAATAACAGTGTTGGTACTTGCATTTTGTATTGTTCAGTGAGATGTGTGTGATATAATATATAACGACACATCTATTTAATATGCTATATTTTATATATAATAAAATTATATAATATATAGTAAATAGTGCAAGTATCATGCAATTTTCTCAGCTAGTGAAACAAGTATCTCATACTGTATGTTTGTTAATATGTTTTGGGGAGTAAAGAGATGAAAGCATCAGTATAAGTAAAACTTAAATAACATTATATTTTTAGCCATATACTTTAAATTATGTTGGCATACCCTGAGGCTCCAATCATGAACTGCAATTAAAATAAACCAAGTTAAGTAAAAGCAGTATGTGAGCACACAAGAGCTATAGGATGGACTATGTAAGTATTTTTCTTCTTAGCATTCATTTAGTATGTTTCATTTAAAATACTGTTATATTGGCAGTGATGAGAAGCTTTGCTGGAAAGACATTAATTTTAAAATAATCCTTTTTAGAAGGAGAAATAGTATATCTAAATAATGCAAATATAAATATATTTTGATATTAAGCATTACACATATCTTTGTATTTATAAACGAGCATAGAAGAAAATAAAAATAATTTGTAATTCTGCCATTCAGAGACTCAAAGACTGGTGTGCACTTTCCACAAAACAGCTGAATTTTAATTGACTTTTTCTTGGCTTTTACAAAGATATTTATTTGTTTCTCTTTTGGCTGGACTGTGTCTTCACTGCTGCACAGGCTTTCTCTAGCGGCAGTGAGTGGGGGCTCCTCTCTAGTTGCAGTGCACAGGTTTCTCATTGCGGTGGTTTCTTGTTGTGACGTATAGGCTCTAGAGCACGTGGGCTTCAGTAGTTGTCACGTGGGGGCTCAGTAATAGTGGTTCCCAAGAGCACGGCTCAATAGCTGTGGTCCACGGCCTTAGTTGCTCTGCCACATGTGGGATCTTTCTGGATCAAGGATCAAATCTGTGTCTCCTTTGGCAGGCAGATTCTTTACCACTGAGCCACCAGAGAAGTCCTTGAATGATTTCTTAATCACTGACTTTTTTCTATGATCTGTAAAATACCCATTTAAAATATATGAATTATACATTTTGACAAAATTTCCTTATAACATTACAATATAAAATACTAAACCCTAAGACCTGAAGATGAGAGCATTGAAACTAATTTTCACTATGACCTTGTCATAGAAAAGTAATTTTCTCCATATCCTGGAGGTTTTTCAATACAAACTAATCCCAAGGGCTAACATTTCTGAACTCTCTCTTCATCTCCTTCCCAGGGAGCAAGTAGGTGTGTTTGGAAGGAGAATCTGAGCATGCACACACAACTCTGTTCCTTTTCCTCTCGGGAGCACAGTACCCCTTGGGAAAAAGTGTCTTCTAGTTGTCCATGTTGTAACTCCCATAGGCCACACTAACACTGTGGTTAGGGGAGGACCTTCATCTTTGGAAGGAGGCTGATGGTGTGAGTTCATTTCAGTGTGTTGGAGCACTGGGAAAGTAAAATCTACATAATAGATAGGACTTTTGCTTGTGTCACATTTACTGCTTTGGCTTTAGGCTCCAGACATTCTTTTATGGGCAGGGGATTTTGATTTTGGCAGTATATGGGCTTCTTTTGAGCTGGCTGAAGTATTGGCCTTATACTATTTAGGATATAGAGAGGGTTGTGGCTCAGATTTCTATACAGATGCTTTGCTATTCTATACAAGAAAGGCTGCATGTAGCAGACCTTGAAGCTTTTAGGGCCTCAGAAATGGTCCGAGCCTTAAGATAGTACACAAGAGATTCAACTAGGAGCTGAACCTAACAAAGATTTGAAAGGGTTTCAACCACATTGTTAGTCTGCTAGCTTGTGGGAGAGGTTTAGACCTTGGTTGCCAAAAAATATTGGTGTCCAAGGGCCATAGAAAAGAAAAATGATCACACAATTAGCTTGGCTTAATGAATCAGACTAGGAGTGGTAGCTGCAACTTGGCATTGAATTACATAGATGATGGTGGCAGTACCCATGAGTGGGCACCAGGAGGAACTTTTCAGACACCAGAAGGCCACAGAGCCCTTAGGAAGGTAATCCAAGGATTCAATTTAGGGAAATAGTTTTTCCAATTTTAGGTCTTTTATTTGTTATATTTAAATACCAGTAAAGTTTTATGTGGATTCTATAGCACTAATGAGATTTTAGTTTTGTATATTTAGGGCAACGACTCAGTAGTCAGTGCTAAATTGAATGCTCCAAAATTCATAGTAATTCAGAGTTGAGAGAAGAGCTATGAAGAGGCTAAGCTTGACCTATTAAAGCTCTTGAATGGATTCAAGTGTCTTTCCAGCAAGTATCCTCATAGGTTCTCAGTTCATTGATCATACCTAGAAGGAAAATTTTCTTAGGAGGTAGATGTTAAGTCAAAGTGATTCCAATGAATGAGACAGAACAGAATGTGGGTACTCTGTCACTAAAGTCTAAGCTTAAACTTGTGCCATGCTACTGCTTCATCCATATCTCAACACGTTAAAAAAAAAATTGATGTTACTGCTTCATCCATAGCCCAACATGTTTTAAAAAAATCGATGTTACTGCTTCATCCATAGCTCAACATGTTAAAAAAAAAAATCATCACCTTTGGGAGTCCTAGTTCTGTAACTTTCAGGAATTTAGATGTGAGTCTTTAGTGGAATGGGCTTCTCAGGTGGCTCAGCGGTAAAGATTCCACCTGCAAATGCAGGAGACGTGGGTTAAATTTCTGGGTCAGAAGATCCCCTGGAGAAGGAAATGGCAACCCATCGAGTATACTTGCCTGGAGAATCCGTGGACAGAAAAGCCTGGAGGGGCTACAGTCCATGGGGTTGCAAAGGGTCAGACATGACTCAGTGACTAAACAAGTTTACAGGATAATGAATATCTATGAGTTAATAGGATTTGCATACAGTAGCTTTCATACATTTTATTCTAAAATTCACTTCATTTTTTAAGTACCTGGATGCTATTTTCTTTAAAATGAATTTTAATGGGATATCTGATATACAAACATACAAAGCACTGATTTGAGAGTCAGAAATTATAGAATTCGCAGTAGTGTTGACTCACTCTCCCCCACCCCCATCCCCAACCCGTAAGTGTACTCACCAACATCACTTCTTTTCCTTTCAGGTTTGATTTGATGGATTAGGAACAGAGATGTGGTGAAGGAGGTAATGGAACAATCTGAGCTCCTCAGTAACTTATTAATGAACCTTATTAGGAGGGAGAATGAGTCAAGCAACCCACAAGTTAGTCTCATTAACGGCGGTGTTATGTCCTAGAAGCATGATAATTTTGCTTCTCCCACACATTTTTACTCTTACTTCCTCTGGAAGATCAAAGAACATCTGAATCTATTGAAATTATTTTGCTGGTAAGTTATAAAAATCTAATTCAGAATGACTTAAATTATAAAGAAAAACTTACTAGCTCACATAACTGAAATTCCAGAAGTAAACTGGGTTTTGAATGGGTCTGATCTTATGGTCTTTGCAGGGTACCAGAAGCCCAGTTTCTGGGTATCTCTATATTCTGCTTTTCCAGAGATTGCAAGACATACCATTTAGTAACTCACCCTTGCAGTTCTTACTCTCCCTATATGGGTTGGAAGTGTCTGAGGCCTTTCCAGTCTTCACATGTATACATTCCAATTCAAATGAAGTTGGTCTTCCTAGTAGCTTCTAGAATATCCTAAAACATACAGTGATTTGTCAAACCCAGAAGCGTCATCATGCATTACCTCTTCCACCCATGGATCTAATTAGTTTTTCTGCACATGCTTGTAGCCAGGAGTGTGATTGATGGAGTTCAGTTCCTTTCAAATGATACGGCAGAAAATGAAAAGAGGGAGTTATCCCAAAGCAAATGCAGCTAATACCATTGGAATAAATGGGAAGTAGTTACTAGGAAACAAAGAGACATGTTCATAATGGTTCATCACTTTGACCAACCAGTGAAAAGTGAATGTGTAACTTGCTCAGTCATGTCCAACTCTTTGAGATCACCTGGACTGTAGCCTCACAGACTCCTCTGTTTATGGAATTCTCCAGGCAAGAATACTGGAGTGGGTAGCTATTCCCTTCTCCAGGGCATCTTCCTGACCCAGGGATCGATCCTCCGTCTCCTACATTGCCAGCAGATACTTTCTTTATCATCTGAGCCATCATGCAGACCTGTTATTTTTCTTTCATAAATACATGCAAAAGTGTTCTTGTCTGTCTAAAATGCATTCACGTCCTAGCCAAAGTAATGCTATCTAAAACATCTACTTCTTGAATTCAGCTATAAGTCAAGTGTCTCTAGATAATTGTGCATCCCTTTCATTCATATGGAGATGCAGTCCTTTACTGTTTTAACATCTGATGGGCAAAATGACAAGCTTAATTACCTTCTCTCAATGTACAGTTGAAGACAGCTTTATACCCACAATAAGGCTTCCATTTCAAAATAAGAACCAGGCACTTAGTTCATATGGAAATCATTAATATTTGCTTCCTAGTAGGGGAGAAAATTTCTTTGTCCACTGATTTGTTTTTCCTGAGTTGATCCTCTTGGAAGATCTTTTTATCCAAGGTTGGATGTTGGGAAAGAGATTCTGTTCAAGCAGCCTCATACTTTTCTTACTTAAGTGATTTTCAAAAGGAAGGTCCCACAGATGGCAGAATGTCTCCTAAAAGTGTTTGGGAATCTTTTGATTATCTCAGTCATTGAAGTCGCTACCAGAATTTAGTGGAATTGTTCCACTGCAAATTAATTTGGGTTTAATTAATGACTCTTTGGGTTTAATTTAATGTGCTTTGAACTAAATATTTTAGAATAAGTACTGATACAAAATTAGAAGACTTGTCTACATTTTATTAGTAACTTTATTTTGGAACTATTTCACATTATTGCTATTTCATAGTCTTTTTAGGCAATAGAATTTCTTGTATAGAAGACCAATTGGAAAGGAAAGTGAGACCAACACAAATACAGTTGAGTGGCTCAGATAGAAATGATCAGAAGAAGTTGTTTTGTTAATTTTATCACTACTGAAAGGGATCAGTTGAAGAGAGAAGTCAGCAAGATGCTATAAAGGTGGTTTCTATATGCTGTAAATGGCTATTGTAAACTTTATTGGAGTAGAATAGCCAACAGGCATTTTAAGAACAGAATTTGTTACTGCAGTTATTTCTGAAGTTGTTTACAATTTTAACATAAACTTCTCTTCTCTGTTCCCTCAAATTTCTGAGTAAAATCTACTGTGCTCCTGGATACTCTTAATGGCTCTTGTTTTATTGGGTAAAGAAGACTAGAGACTGGATTTCACAACGACAAACATATATACAAAGATTCCTGTGGTGATGTTTATAGATGATATGAGAATGTGAGTTCGCTTTTTCCCACTAAAGTATTCATAGAAAATCTACATAAGGCCCTCTATATCCTGGGGATTTAGATTTGAATTTCTAGGCAAGCTTGATATGTATTTTGTGAGTTCCAATCAGTCTATCCATACTAAAGAATAAATCTTAGATTACAATAATTAAGTTTCACATTTTCCTTGGGGCAAGTGCTAACTTATATTTATATATACTATTTAAAACATAACTTTATATTTAGGTTATACTTTTGTTAATATATGGCTACCTTAGTTGGTTAAGCATCAATGTTAACCATATTCTCCTAAGACATAATCAATATTTACATTTAAATAATAATTTTGAAAGAAAAAAAGCTTCATTACATTTTGTTTTTTATTATTTGGACTTCCCTGGTGGCTCAGACGGTAAAGCGTCTGTCTACAATACGGAAGACCTGGGTTCGATCCCTAGGTCGGGAACATCCCCTGGAGAAGGCAATGGCAACCCATTCCAGTACTGTTGCCTGAAAAATCCCATGGACGGAGGAGCTTGGTAGGCTGCAGTCCATGGGGTCGCTATGAGTTGGACACGACTGAACGACTTTACTTTCACTTTCATCAGTTCAGTTCAGTTCAGTCGCTCAGTGTCCGACCCTTTGCGACCCCATGAATCACAGCACGCCAGGCCTCCCTGTCCATCACCAACTCCTGGAGTTTACTCAAACTCATGTCCATCGAGCCGGTGATGCCATCCAGCCGTCTCATCCTCTCTCGTCCCCTTCTCCTCCTGCCCCCAACCCCTCCCAGCATCAGGGTCTTTTCCAATGAGTCATTTCTTCACATTGCCATTTCTTATCCATAATCATTAGATATTTCATTGTTGCCTAAACCCAAGATATCTAAAACAAGCACAGAGAAGCTAATCATTCATTTTCTCTATAAATGGGTTTCCCCTACTCTTGTGTTCACAAACAAAGCAAAAGGGAATAGGTCCTGAAACACTGTAATCTTCTTCAACTAAAATATATACACATTTAGTCATTAAATGCCTCTGAATTATCCAACTCGATCTTTCATGACTCGAGTTGTTGGATGCATTACAAATATTTTTGCCTTTGACTTTCCAAATGGAATTTTTTATTTTACTCCCTACTTCTGCCATATCCTTCTCCTCATATGTATGGAGCACACACATACACACACACACACAAACATGCACACGTTGTCTCTTACTGCTCAAAGGTTGTTGTGAGGTCGCTAAGTAGTGTCTGAATCTTTTGCAAACTCATGAACTGTAGCCTGCCAAGTCCCTCTGTTTATGATTCCCTAGGCAAGAATACTGGTATGGGGTTGCCATTCCCTCCTCCAGGGGATCTTCTTGACCCCAAAGGCAGATTCTTTACTGCTGAACCACCTGCTAAAATCTTACTTATCTTCAAATTTAACTTATTTATATTTCAACTTTCACTTTCCTTTGCAGTCTCCTTTTAATGTTTGATTCATATTATGTCATGAATTAATAAGAAATGGAAATCGAGGGTCATTCAAAGATCAAAAGATTCTCATTTTTACTAACTCTTCTGCTTGTGCCCAGCATTATTTCTTTATTGTATAGTTGGTTGGGTGAAACACAGGTGTTATATACAATGTTAAATAATAAAAATACAATGCATCTGAAGGTATCTGAATGTATCTATAAATTCAAAACTTTGTTAAAAAATAATTATTAAATTTGAGGCCAGATATCAAAACATAGCAAAGGCAAAAGTGTAATGACTGTTAAAAACTAAAAATTTTCAGACATTGTAATTTTGCTTATGTCAGTTTTCTATCCTTTGAATTAATTTTTATAAAAGGACTATGCTATTTTCAACATCATAATATAGCTATTGACTGCCTTTAATAAAAGAATTTACTGTTAGAATAGAGAGAAGGGAAATGGAATTAAGCAATTCCATGACATCTATACCAAGAAATGGGGAAGAATATAGTCAATTTTAAGCCAGGACAGAAAGCCTTGTTATAACTTCTCAGAATGAACAAGCCGTACTTTCAAATGAGGTGACTACTACTTCAACATCCTGACATTCTCTGAGTCATGATTTATTACTTTAAGGCTTTTTGTGAAATTTCTGAGTTGATTTCACAGAAGTAGACTTTTATCGTTTCATTTTGTGACCTTGCAGATCTCCTATAAAAAGGACATAATTCATAAGACAAAAATAGGAGAAACTGATAATGAAAATGAGAATATCTGCATCTGCACATACAAGTCCATGAATTTAAGTAATTTTTCTTTGTGTCACATCTACTACTGTCAATTTAAGTAGCCCATTTATTTGTATTAATTAGGTTTATATGACCGTAAGTTAATATGATGAAAGTTGACGTTAACTGGTTCACTAAGTAGGGTTTTAATCTTTTAAAACATATATAAGAAATTGCTTTTAGAAAAAGGATGCCTTATTATACATATTTTACTTGCAAGTATTAAGCCTAACATTTTTTAAAATGACTTGGAGATCTCTATGTTTGGTATAGCTATACTTTTCTTTATATTGCTTATGTTCTCAAACTGTATGACTGTACATAAAAGGAGATCTTAAAATGGTTACCTTCTTAGGGATTGTACCTGTGGTGTGGATGAAACTGATCTTTTATTGTCCTCTGAGTTTTTTTGGGCTAGAGTCATTGTCTTGTGACATGCATTTGGAGACTATCAAATATTGGCAAAATACGTGTAATATGGAAGGTGGGGATGTCACTGCTACCCTGTTAACTTAATCACACAGTTGGCTTGCACACATTCAGTCAGCTTATTAACCACTTCACTAGCATCAGAATCAAACAAGGAGAGATGCTATGTTCTTTTTTTTTTCCCCCATTTTTTTTTGTTTTTAAGGAATTTTTTTTAAAGGGTTGCTTTTGAAAAAAACAATTTTAGGGATATCAAAAAATTACAAATCACAATGTGTTACCAATGTCTAACTCTTTAGATGACTCTAGATTAATTAGGAGCAGTGACTGTTTCATCACCCAGTTTTCATTTAACCATGTCTGAAGAAGATTTTAGTTTTCAACAACTGGGGAAGTTCTATTGTCATTTTGTGGGTAGAAGTCAGGGGTTCTGGTAAACATTCATAGGGCACAAGTCAGACCCACAGCATAGAATTATCCTGCCCAAATGTCAATAGTGTGAGGTGGAAAAGCCCTGATCTAGAGACATACATTTCAGTTAGAGGGAAAAATGATCTACCTTCTAGGAAAAATGCCAATTTTACATTCATTCTTATATTTTCAGAACAATTGAAAATATAGTTTATCATTTGTTGATAAGAATCCTACAGCATAACCTTTGATGATAAATGAGTGACAATCACAAATAGAGATTCCTTTCATATTTTAGGAGTTGTTTATCAGGGTGGAGGCTTCCAGTTGCAAGTAACAGAATTCCTCATCCATACTGGATTCAATAATAGAGAAGTTTGATATCCTATGTAATAGCGAGCCTAGTGGTAGTATGGTTCCAGAGTTAGTTTAGTTAGTTGCATCAAAGACCAATATATTTTTTCCCCTTCTCTGGGGTGGGGTCTGCCATCCATAATGTTAAAGCATACAACTGCTAGTTTCCCTATGGTCATGAAATATGTGATCTTTCTCTTAGCCTGACTGGTCCAACTCAGGTCACTTGTTTGTGTGTAGACCAAAGATATTTACTGGAGGAATGTCATGAGTAGATTGGTCAGGAAGAACATCTGGAACTTGTAAAGGAGACAGAGTTTCTTGTTGCAAAATTGTGATATTGGTAGGAGAAAAACAAACAACCAAACATGGAAATGAATCATCAAGTAATGTAACAACAGAACTTAGGTACAGAAAGTAGGAAGATATGATATCTAATAGATGTTTTAAACTTGAAATTTCCATGAAGAAGTCTAAATTCCCACCCCAACCCAATCCACTACTTAGAAACCTTCACTCCAATCAGTATTTCCTTTTTTATCACTTAACAATGTCCATTTCCTTTTCCTGAAAATTAGGAACAATCTTTGATATAACAGTAGCTCCAATACTGCACAGAAATTTCCAGCAGTATTATTATTTAGGTTGGTGCAAAAGTAATTGCAGTTTTGCACTGTTGAAATTTGCTGTTTGATATTGGAATATATTCTTAAATAAATGTGGCTATGTAACATATCATTGTAATGAACATATCTCACTTTATTTTTTTGCTAGTGACTTATTAATGCTGTTTATTTTATATTTATTTCAGACTAGGGAAATAATGTTAGACAAAAAGCAAATTTGAGCAATTCTCTTATTCAAATTCAAATTGGGTGGTAAAGCAGTGGAAACAACCAACAACATCAACAAAGCATTTGACCCAAGAACTGCTAACAAACATACAGGGCAGTGGTGGTTCAAGGAGCTTTGCAAAGGAGACGAGAGCCTTGAAGGTGAGAAGCTCAGTGGCCAGCCATCAGAAGTTAACAACAAAGTTGAGAGCCATCATTGAAGCTGATTCTTTGACTAACTACACGAGAAGTTGCTGAAGAACTCAGTGTCGACCATTCTATGATCAGTCAGCATTTGAGACAAATTGGAAAGGTGAAAAAGCTTGATAAGTGGATTCCTCATGAGCTGACTGAAAATAAATAAAAAATATCATCACTTTGAAGCATTGTCTTCTCTTATTCTATGCAAAAACAACAAACCATTTCTCGATGGGATTGTGATATGCACCCAAATGTGGATTTTATAATGGTAACCAGCCATGACCAGCTCAGTGGTTGGATTGAGAAGAAGCTCCAAAGTCCTTCCCAAAGCCAAGCTTGCACCAAAAAAAGGACATGGTCACTGTTTGATGGTCTGCTGCCCACCTGATCCGCTACAGCTTTCTAAATCCCTGTGAAACCATTACATCTGAGAAGTAAGCTCAGCAAACTGATGAAATGCTCCAAAAACCACAGTGCCTGCAGCCAGCGTTGTCAATAGAAAGGGCCCAATTCTTCACAACATTGCTGGATTGCACATTGCACATTGCACAACCAATGCTTCAAATGTTGAATGAATCAGTCTACAAAGTTTTGCCATATCTGCCATATTCACTTGACCTCTGGTCAGCTGGCTTCTTGAACCACTGCTTCAAGAATTTTGACAACTTTTTGCAGGGAAAACACTTCTACAACCAGCAGGAGGCAGAAAATGCTTTCCAAGAGTTTGGTGAATTCCAAAGCATGGATTTTGATGCTACAGGAATAAATAAACATTTCTCATTGGCAAAAGTGTGTGGATTGTAATGGTTCCTAGTTTAATTAATAAAAATGTGTTGGAGCCTAGGTATAATGATTTAAAACTCATAGTCCCAAATCGCAATTATGTTTGCACCAACCTAATAAGTAGTTTTGTAATTCATCTTCCTGTAGCTCCTTCCCTCCAAATATATTAATTTTGTTCACCTGATCTCTTGATGGACTGCAATTCCAGAGAGAGAGAACCACTGGCAAGGAGACTCTGAATTTGAACAAGGTTGATGTATCTGAAGAATGGAATGAAGGCAGCACATTTGAAAATATTGAATTTTCCATTACAGATCTTAACACAAATGGCTCCCCTTTTATCACTTTAATGTCAGTGGAAACTCTACCCACTCTTAGAAGCTTCTCTGAAAACTCAATCTAAAATAGCCCTTGCTCCAGAAGTTCTGTCTTATAGCTATCTTATTTCCCAGAGCCTTGCTACTCTTTAAAATGGTTTTGTTTATTTTACTTGTGAATTTTTGTCTATCTCACAAGAATGAAAGATGCATGAGAGTGCAGATTATCTGTACTGTGCTTGCTACTGGATTGGCTGTCTAGAATAGTGCCAGGATCTGGTAGGTACTCATGTGTCTATTGGTTGAATGAATGAATACAAATGGCTATTCCAGAATGATTTAGGAAAAATCTATTCCTCTCTCCTGAGTCCTTTCCCTTTCTAAAGTATTTCTGTCACTTCTATTTTCTGTTCATCCATTCAAATATAGATGACTATTTTGGGAAGGGAAAAGAGGGAAGAAATAAAATACTGATTATGATTTGCTTTTCAGCCTTTGATCATTAAGTCTTAGTCCTCCAAGAATATTTAAAGCTCACCTGCTTCATTTTTCCCAACCAGAAACAGTGTTGTCATGACACATCAAGCATGAAAGTTTAAGAGCCGTGGATGTGGGGGCTTCCCTGGTGGCATAGTGGGTAAGACTCATCTTTCAATGCAGGGGACATGGGTTCAATCTCTGGTCCAGAGAGATTCCACATACCATGGGGCAACTAAGCCCCACTACCGAGCCTACACTTAGGGCCCATGACCTCAAATACTGAGCCTGTGGCCTGCAGCTTCTGACGCCCCTGTGCCTATAAGCCTGTGTTCCGCAGTGAGAGATCTCACATGGTAAGAAGCCCATGCACCTCAATCAGAGGCAGCCCCTGCTTGCTGCAACTAGAGAAAGCCCTTGCAAAGCAGAGTAAAAGAAGATCCAGCTCAGCCAAAAAGTTAAAAAAAAAGAAAAAATTAAAAAAGAGCCAAGTAGATGGGTATGCTTGGACCTGATCTATGGCCTGGGTCTAGCTCACCAGTGTAGTGGACCTGAGAAGATGGATGAAGGACCACCCAAATGTGGGAAAACTCACAGATACATCTGAATAGTCAGATCTAAAGAAGATTAGGACAGGCAAAGCCAGAAAACTCAAATCCAAAGTTTTTACAAACCAAATGACTGCAAACAGATAGCAGTTTCAGGAGAAACTGAAGGTGAAGCCTGAATAAAGATGCAGAAATAAGGGAAACTATTATAGAAAGTCTGCATTTCTACTCAAATGAATTTAAAATGAATTTGGTAGGATGTGTGTAGAGAGATGATGATGTTCAGTTGATTTAGTCCTTATTTCTCTCTGAATGAGAACTTTTCTACCAGTGGGTAAATTACTTTACAGGACCAAACAATTTTTTTTGTTGTGGGTTGTAGTAGGTATCAGCCAAAATGAGTCTCTTTTTAGGATCACAAGCTACAAATATCTTATAATATCCTGTAATTCTGAAGTTGTAAAAGGATGCCTCCTCACCATATGTGGGAAATGTTCTGAAGAATTAAATAATTGCACAGGAATTTAAAATATAAATATATATTAAAATATAAACATAAATTAAAACAAGTATCTCTGAAGATTAGGAAGACTGAGATGACTGATGAAGCAAAAAAACTAAGTTTATAGCCAAAAACTTGTACTTTACAACCACATATCCACTCTCACTTTATATTGTTATTTTTAAACTAAGTTTAGTTATAATTTGTCACTTCTTATAAATTTTAGTATAAAAACAATTGTGAAGTATTAGAATTCTAATTTTGGAAGGCAGTGTTAAAATATGTCAATGTTTTCTATATAATGTATTATTATTCCCATAATGTACAGACCCTGAGAAATATAATTATCGTATTCTTTTAATAAAAATATGTTTTCTAAATGTATTTAAGAAGTTTTCATTTACCTTCTTATTCCTGTAAGAATATTCAGTATTTAGGGGACAGTGTATTTTTATTCATAACACTCATCATCGAATGATTTTTCTTTTACCTTAATGCTTATTTTTAGCTTGTTGATATTAATATTTTCATTAGTTCAATAAAATATTTATATTACAGATCTATTTTCTTCCTCAGAATATATATAAATGCTGATGTGCTTCATTTTAAAGGACATGCCAAGCAAAAGATCAGGTGTTCTGGGACACTGTAATTGCCTGTTCTGATTTCACTTGAAAGTTTTACTGAAGTCTGGTTCTTAGAAACCTCTTTTATAAAGTAAAAATCAAGTCATTCTTTCTATATATTTTTAGATGCCACCATTCAGTTGCTGTCCATTCACAACTGTTTGTTGTCTACATTTGTGTGATTTTTATGGTGCTGACTCATTTGTTCCCCTGTCTAGAGGAGAAGAACATTTGAAAAAATGTTCATTCACCTCTAAAGGTCACATTCCTGGTACATTTTTTCTGTTCTTGAACAAATACCGTAATGCAAAAGTTTTTCTATTTTTTTTCTCATTGAACAGGAAACTGGAAAAGTGTAATTAAGAACCAGATGGTTTCAGAAGTGCTTACTTTGGCCCGTGTCTCATTGATACTCAGATACAGTCTAAATGAAAGCCCCAAGCAAGCCTGATTATTTAACTTTGAAGTGGTGTGATTACATCAGCATTGAATAAGATATTGCAAACTTTTACTCAGCTAAATTTTTATTTTATTCATAGTGGAGTTTTCAGGACATACACCACCAGCTGTTAACTTGTTAATACATGCTATTTGTACTAACAATGTACTAACATTTTAAATTAAAAAAACATTATAATTAGCAGGAACCTTGGTTCCAGATTTTCTATTGGAAGTAAGTAGTCTACTACATTGTTAATGTTGTTGACTTATTTCCTTTTAGTGACCATTCTAAAAATCTTAAAGATTTAGAAAGCTATAGCAAGCTGTAGATGTGCTTCTTTTTATTCTTACTTAGAGGTTGGTATATTACATTCCATAAATGCAACCTATCGCCTATTGTCTTGGAAATAACATTTCCTGGAATGGATTCCTGTCCATTTATCTATGGCAGTTAAGTCACTTAAATGGCAGAGCTGACTAACTGTGAAAGAGGCTCTATGGCCAAATAAGCCCCAAATATTTACTGTTTGGTCTTTGATGTTATTCTTTAAGAAATATGATGAATTTTTTAAGTTACACTTCAGTTCTTTATAATACATGTTTCACATAATTAATTTCAGGTGAAATGTAACTTTATTATTTTCTCTCTTCCAAAATATGTCATCAACTTGTACCTATTTTGCTTGCATATCACCACTTCTTCCAGAACCAACTCCAAAATAGTTAAAATAAGATTAATTGTTGTATGCATAGAGAATTTTAATTGAAAATCTAACCTATGATGCAGAGTTTGAAATCCATAGATTTATATTTTTCTTTTTATAGAAAAAGAACATCAAATGATATATATAATAAACAAATAGAATAATGATTTATTCTTATTTTGTAATTAGAACTGAGATATAATTAGCAAATAAACATAATTATTCATATTGGTTTATGTTGATTTATTAATGAAGTCTCTAAAAAATCACAGTATCATCATGATACTATTATTTATTTGTTCTATGCAGAATTATTTTATGCTAGAATTGTCAAAAGAGAGATTTATGGCACTTAGGTGATGAACAGAGTTTTAGTCTATATTCAGCTCCCAAGAAGCAGAACCACTCTGATCATTTCCTCAGTTCTTGAGCAGTAAATGAAAGACCTTTTCAGCAACAGGCAGAATTCCCACATTGGCTTCCATGCCTTAAGACCTATTATTCTAGAAAGAACTAAGTAGAAGTATAGTACACCTACAGCAATATTGCTGATCTGGAAAAATTGTAGAAATGAAGTGGGGAGGAAGTGATTTTAACCACTGTCCCCAGATAACTGTCATGTTTAGCCTATAAAGAAAATGGGAGTATCTTGGACAACACTTGTGGATGCCTGCAAATTTAATTAGGAGGTGATTCAACTGATTGCCACTGAAGTTCTAGAAATGCTGTAGTTGATGGAGCAGGACAATACAGCTTCAGGTGACTGATACACAGTCGCTTCTATTCCTCCACACCTGTTTAAAAAGATTGCCAGAAGCAGATCGCCAGAAGCAATATGCGTTTACCTAACAATGTCAACAGTATGCTTTTAGGATCCTGACTCAGGATTGCTTCTCCACTCCTGCGCTCTGCTATGAATCAGTCTGAAGAAATTTTAACTGTTTTGACATTGCATAATATCACGCTATTTTAATAAATTGATTATATCATGTTGATTAGATCTTTTGAATAGGAAATGGCAAGTAGCTCGACTGTCGTAGCAAGACATTTTGTTGCCTGAATGTAAGAAACAAATTCTAGGAAAGTTCAGAAACCTAGTACTTCACCAGCATTTGGGGGAGAGTATATGTATAGAGCATATTTACACCAAAGTAAATAAAAAAAACTCATTTACATTATATCATCTACTATTAAGTCCCAGCCCCAATACTTGGAACTCTGAATACTGGGGAGAATATATGTCATTGTAGATGTGCTGCCAAGACCCATTTACTGAGCAGCCCATAACGCTGCCAAAGCAATAGATTCAGGTTATGCTCTAAGCTGCTCTACCAAATACCTTGTGACTCTGCAGATTGCTTAAGTCTGTGGCAAGTAAAGATACAGCATCTGGGAAACCACAGTTAGACAATAATGTTACCTATCCCTAGGGATTTGGAACAAAGTCACACACTCATTTACAGAAAAGTATAATCGACTCTTTGTTAACTGGTCTTGGTAGAGACTGTACATCTGACACTAGGCTGTCAAGTGATCATACAATCTGAGTTCCCACTATGAATTGGGTATTATCAAATCAATATTATATTATATGCTGTATTGTATATAAACATGCTTTTTTATAGAAAAAGAACATCAAATGATATATATAATAAACAAATAGAATAATGATTTATTCTTATTTTGTAATTAGAACTGAGATATAATTAGCAAATAAACATAATTATTCATATTGGTTTATGTTGATTTATTAATGAAGTCTCTAAAAAATCATAGTATCATCATGATACTATTATTTATTTGTTCTATGCAGAATTATTTTATGCTAGAATTGTCAAAAGAGAGATTTATGGCACTTAGGTGATGAACAGAGTTTTAGTCTATATTCAGCTCCCAAGAAGCAGAACCACTCTGATCATTTCCTCAGTTCTTGAGCAGTAAATGGAAGACCTTTTCAGCAACAGGCAGAATTCCCACATTGGCTTCCATGCCTTAAGACCTATTATTCTAGAAAGAACTAAGTAGAAGTATAGTACACCTACAGCAATATTGCTGATCTGGAAAAATTGTAGAAATGAAGTGGGGAGGAAGTGATTTTAACCACTGTCCCCAGATAACTGTCATGTTTAGCCTATAAAGAAAATGGGAGTATCTTGGACAACACTTGTGGATGCCTGCAAATTTAATTAGGAGGTGATTCAACTGATTGCCACTGAAGTTCTAGAAATGCTGTAGTTGATGGAGCAGGACAATACAGCTTCAGGTGACTGATACACAGTCGCTTCTATTCCTCCACACCTGTTTAAAAAGATTGCCAGAAGCAGATCGCCAGAAGCAATATGCGTTTACCTAACAATGTCAACAGTATGCTTTTAGGATCCTGACTCAGGATTGCTTCTCCTCTCCTGCGCTCTGCTATGAATCAGTCTGAAGAAATTTTAACTGTTTTGACATTGCATAATATCACGCTATTTTAATAAATTGATTATATCATGTTGATTAGATCTTTTGAATAGGAAATGGCAAGTAGCTTGACTGTCGTAGCAAGACATTTTGTTGCCTGAATGTAAGAAACAAATTCTAGGAAAGTTCAGAAACCTAGTACTTCACCAGCATTTGGGGGAGAGTATATGTATAGAGCATATTTACACCAAAGTAAATAAAAAAAACTCATTTACATTATATCATCTACTATTAAGTCCCAGCCCCAATACTTGGAACTCTGAATACTGGGGAGAATATATGTCATTGTAGATGTGCTGCCAAGACCCATTTACTGAGCAGCCCATAACGCTGCCAAAGCAATAGATTCAGGTTATGCTCTAAGCTGCTCTACCAAATACCTTGTGACTCTGCAGATTGCTTAAGTCTGTGGCAAGTAAAGATACAGCATCTGGGAAACCACAGTTAGACAATAATGTTACCTATCCCTAGGGATTTGGAACAAAGTCACACACTCATTTACAGAAAAGTATAATCGACTCTTTGTTAACTGGTCTTGGTAGAGACTGTACATCTGACACTAGGCTGTCAAGTGATCATACAATCTGAGTTCCCACTATGAATTGGGTATTATCTAATCAATATTATATTATATGCTGTATTGTATATAAACATGCACATCTTTCAGAACTGCTTAAGAAACTTTCTGTAAGTGTGTGTGTATATGTGTGTGTATGCACATGCATACATAAAACATCTATCTATCACAGTCTTGAAAGACAAAAGTGATTTGTTTGAGAGGGTGCCTCATACCTATAATATTTACTCCTCTTCCAACACTTCGTCTCCCTCAATCCATACTTATATTCTCATGAGAAGTTCTCCATGACCAAATAAAGGAAAAGGAAAAAATCCAGGCCTGATTTACAGATATTTCTGGAAAATATGCTGGCATCATTGGAAGGATACTATTGTAATATTATATTTCTAGAATAGTGTGTTTCTGAAAGACACAAGTGAAGAAATACCCTCTCTGTAAGAATAAGTTAATTAGGTACATTTATTTATTTACTTGGTAGCTTTAAAATTATTAGAAATATTAATAATCTTCACTGATTTGTGAGTAGTGACTAACAGTTAATCTGATTGCTGGGAATTTAGAACATAATTTTAAAAAAATGGTGGCAAGGTGATTGGAGTAGAGAGATGAGAGTGGATCAAATAGTGTGAAGACATTTATATGCTGCGTGGAGTCTTACTAAAGGGAATTTACTAAAAACTAGGTTCTTAATAATCATATGGACAAGGTGTTACGTAGACATCAGTTAACATCTTTCTCAGACATCCTTATCGTCTCAAAAGTCTCATGAACAAAATGTCTGTGGCATAGAAATGAAGAACATACATGATCTCAACAAAATGTATTTCCCCTGAACAAGATTAATCTTACTGCTACTATGGAGAACCTACCTTCCAATAGAATAGACCAATGCCAAGCACTAAATATGACTTGATGCTCTGGAGACATCAGTTAGCCATGTGCTGGACTGTGGATTACATTTGACTCCTTCCATCAGAGTTTGAGAGTCAATCAATTCTCTCTTGAGAGAATTGCACGTGTAATGGATATTTTGCCTTCTTGGCTCTCAATGCTTCTGTCATCATTTCTTTCCATGGTGTTACAAACTGCTTTATTCACTATCACGCCAATAACAATTCTTCAGATCAATTAACAAATTTCATAGGAAACAAACTGTTGCAATTAGCTTTAGTCCATGGTAATCAATGGTCTCAATTGCCATGAACCCGATCACCTACATGCCTACTAATAAGGATTGATT